TATGGACCAAAAACCATATCTCAGGAAGTACTCAACCGATTTCAATGAAATTCGGTATATAATATTTTCTTAACACCGTTATGACATGTACCAAATATGGGTGAAATCGGTTCACAACGACGCCTGAAATCTCGATTATCACTTTATCATGCGAGAGTATAAAATGTTCGGTGACACCCGAACTTAGCTCTTCCTTACTTGTTTTTTTTTTAGTTTTTTTTGTTTTACTTTATTAATGAGAATAAATCTATAATAGTTTTTGGTTCTATTCACGTATGTAGATGCTTCCTTGAACGCATCACAATTTAATATAATTGCTGCTTATTTCGAAGTATATTATGAGGATTTTTTTTATCATTGTATTGCAGGGTTCTGTTTCTGGTTCCGTTCAAGCAACCGATCGTCTCATGAAAGAGCTACGTGACATCTACCGTTCCGATTCTTTTAAGAGTAATATGTACTCCATTGAGTTAGTAAACGATTCGATATACGAGTGGAATATACGCCTGAAATCTGTTGATCCTGACAGCCCGCTACACAACGACTTGGTCATGCTCAAAGAGAAGGAGGGAAAAGACAGCATATTGCTGAATATTATTTTCAAAGAAACCTATCCATTTGAGCCGCCATTTGTACGAGTGGTGCATCCTATAATATCGGGTGTGTTGTGTATATGAATTTCTAATAAACCATTGAACATTTGTTATTTTCATGTGACGCTTTTTTAGGTGGCTATGTACTCGTGGGCGGTGCCATATGTATGGAACTGCTGACAAAACAGGGCTGGAGCTCCGCTTACACTGTGGAAGCTGTCATCATGCAAATTGCCGCAACCCTCGTGAAGGGTAAAGCCAGAATACAGTTTGGTGCTACAAAGGTAAGTTTCATATTATTATTATAAAGATTTCGCTATTTTGTTTTTTGTTGCGGAATTCCTAAATTCCAACTTTAGGCATTATCGCAGGGTCAGTACAGCTTGGCGCGTGCACAGCAGAGCTTTAAATCCCTGGTGCAAATACACGAGAAAAATGGTGAGCAATTGGGATATTTTTTCACCAACAAACGCGAATATTTAAATTTGACATTTCTTTTTTGCAGGGTGGTTCACACCGCCAAAAGAAGATGGCTAAAAACGCATTAACGGCATCGTATCTTTCCCTACCCTAAATAGCGAGTAATTCATGCCTATTGATATACATTTTTTTCATTTCCTTGGTTAAAAAAAAAAAAGCAAAATAATTATATCTTATAAATATACTTAAATTATAGTTGATATAAAACGCGAACAAATCTATCCATGTATACATAAAAGGCACTAAACATATAAGAGGACTAGAAAAAGTTAGTAAAAACTTAAAGTATAAGCAAATAATTATAACAATGATCAGATTTGGCAGGAAAGCGCAAATATTACTAGCATAGTTCTAAAACCACTTTGTAAATCAACACAATTGGAACAGTAACATATTTACTTGGTATTTGTATATGAACTGAAGGTTTTTGAACACAGGATATATTCGTTTACCATTTGTCAAAAGACCGTATGCTGTTAAGATATTTTACTTATGTACTTATGTATGTAAATGCATGTCTAAACTAAATGTGTCTCTATTTTGGGTGTAAAAATAAGCGTCTATATGAATGAAGAGCAACTATGCTAGGGCTTGTTGCAATTGTGAAAAGAAAAATTTGCATAAATTAAATATTTAGTTGTATTTATACAGATGTGTCAGGATATGTTTAGTTACACTCAGATAGAAGAGAAAATTTATGTTCGGCAAAATTTAACGCACTACCGTAGGTTAGGTAATGTATATTATAATACCCAACGTTTGTGGAAATATTTATTTAAATAGTTTTAAAAATATAAAACAATAAAGTAATTACAAAATGCCACATAATTTATATAGAAAATATTGCTTGAGAATAAATTTCCTTTAAACGAACTGACTACAGTTTAATTTACCAGTTGTACTTTTTGAAAACAACTGAGCTAAAAAATTACAAAAAAGAAAAATCTAAACTGCTTTTAAACGATCACATAGAATTGAAGAGAGCAATTAAAAGGTATTTTTTTTTTTGATAAATGAAAATTTTTACATTTGTTGTTATGAAATCGAAAATTTTTTTTGTGGTATTTTTTTTTTCTGATAGAACCTCAGCACAGTTGGTTCCATGAAATTCGAAATGCTTCAAGTTTACATTGAGGCAAGAACAATCCTTAAGCTATTTGTGGATTATTACATTAAAAGCTAGATACACATTATTGTATTATATTTTCCTTATAAGCAGTATTGCAAATACTAAATAAAATTGGTAATAAGAAACAAAATTTAAAGTTTATTAAATTATTTTTTTTTTCGATTTTTGTCAAAAAAAAAAAATTGTGGAAGTTTTATTTATTCGTGTGTTTTGTTTTCATTTCAATCAGTGGTCTCACGTGTGGTATGTGCGTTTTATGAGTTTCTCTTTTGTGTTTCTTTTCCTACTAAATACAAATATGTCATTCAGAAGTCCAGTAAATAATCATAAATAACGTGTCCATATTAATCAAGTTTTTAAGTTTGCTAAGAACTACAATTAAATACGTACAATAATTGCAATACAAAAACAAGGAAGTTTAATCGTAATTGAAATATTTAATAATGATTAAATTAAAGTGATCCAAATTGCACCAATAAGAAATGTAAAAACCGTATAATCATAAAAAACAAAAACATGATTATTTAAGTTCATATTGTATATTCATTAAAATCACATTCATGCCATGTGAACATACATGCTGACAAATGATTATGCGCTGGTAGTTATACTAAGAAGTTCTGTAGGTACACCCACAATGCATGTTGTTAAAAAGGCTAGTTGTAAGATCGCTATCATTTAAGTATTTATAAATTACTTGAAATGATAAACGAACTTTCTATTCAGTTCAAGTTAAATGTCAACAAAATAATGGGCGTACAACTACATATGTAGCTACGCATACTATGTACCATATGCATATGCTAAGAATTTGTAGCGTGTAGTGTATGTTAAGATACACATACATATAGTATATATTGTATTTTAAAATGTCGAAGTAAATATAATAATAATTACCTATATAATACATTGAATACCCACATATAAATAATATAGCTGCATTATTATTAATATTACAAATATATTTTACAGTATATATGTGAATTATTTCATTGATAAAAATATAAATGCGACAACATTACTTAAGTTAAAGTACATGAACGTGAATAAATTACGGAACGGTTTATCCAACTTTCAAACGCATCTATGTATATTTCATTCCTTACCTCTTTCAACGCAATGTAAATTCATGCAACATATTAAAGAGTTTCGCTGGTATTGTAAGTGTAAGTCAAGGGTGAAGGAACAGTTCTATATATATTCTTATAAAAATTTATATTGTTTTGAGAGGAAGTTCCCTCCCTATGGTATTTGCAGTATTCAATTCAATTGAGGTATACAAATTCATTGATTTTCAAAAGAGATACAGTTTTGGAGCAAAGCATTTTTCCAATTTGGTGTAATATCCTTAATGTTGCTGCCAAGTTGATCGTTTTGAAATTTTGCAAACGTCATTTTCTCTTCAAGAAGCTGGTCATTTGTCCCAACTGTCGAAATCGGACCACTATAACATATAGCTGCCATACAAACTGAACTTTTGCATTTGACAAAGTATCTTCACAAAAGTTGGCACAGGTTATTTTCTAGGAACACAATGTAATCTCCGCAGAAATTGTTCAGATCGGCTTACTATAGCATATGGCTGTCATACAAACCGAACGATCGGAATCAAGGCAAACTTTTGCATTTGGCGTGATATTTTCACGAAATTTGACATGGATTACTCCGGAAAAATTGCTCAGATCGGATTACTACAGTATATAGTTTCCGTATAAACTTAGAACATAGTTACTAAAAGAAATGCACCTGTGAAGGGTATATTAGCTTAGGTGCAGCCGAAGTTTACGTTTTTTCTTGTAAATAAAATAGAAAATCAATTGATATTGATATCATCGACCTCAACACCCGCGCCGTTAGTTCTGCTTTCTCCAGACTGGACAAGGAAGCAACGCAGATGGGTTTGGCAGTGAACGAGGGCAGTACGAAATATCTCCTGTCATCAAACAAACAGTCGTCGCACTCGCGACTTGGCTCTCACGTCACTGTTGACAGTCATAGCTTTGAAGTTGCAGATAATTTCGTCTACCTTGGAACCAGCGTAAACACCACCAACAATGTCAGCCTGGAAATYCAACGCAGGATAACTCTTGCCAACAGGTGCTACTTCGGACTGAGTAGGCAATTGAGAAGCAAAGTCCTCTCTCGACAAACAAAAACCAAACTCTATAAGTCACTCATAATTCCCGTCCTGCTATATGGTGCAGAGGCTTGGACGATGWCAACAACKGATGAGTCGACGTTGCGAGTTYTCGAGARAAAAGTTCTGCGAAAGATTTATGGTCTTTTGTGCGTTGGCCACGGCGAATATCGCATTCGATGGAACGATGAGCTGTACGAGATAGACGACGGCATTGACATAGTTCAGCGAATTAAAAGACAGCGGCTACGCTGGCTAGGTCATGTTGTAAGGATGGACGAAAACACTCCAGCTCTGAAAGTATTCGACGCAGTACCCGTCGGGGAAAGCAGAGGAAGAGGAAGACCTCCACTCCGTTGGAAGGACCAAGTGGAGGAGGACCTGGCTTCCCTTGGAATATCTAATTGGCGCCACGTAGCGAAAAGAAGAAACGACTGTCCGCGGTTGTTAACTCGGCTATAATCGCGTAAGCGGTGATTACGCCAATCAAGAAGAAGGAGAATCAATTGTTTTAAAATACTTATCTCTATTTATTTTCATTACAGCATGAAACTATGGAAGTTTGAGTGTCTGTCGATATTTAATTTACACGCAATATATTCACACTATTTGATGACATTCTAATGCTATACTGTCAGAATTGACGACTCCTTTGCTTGAGCAGACTGTTTTAGTTGATCATTATCGGCTTTCACAAACCGTATCATCTCATCAATGCTATCAGAACCTTCTGTAGCAGTTTGAAGTAATTCTAAACACCCCTGTAGTTCTAGTAAATCGTAGGTTAGGTTGACTTCTCGATGTAACACTCCAGCTAATCTTCTAAAATCTGTGCCTAATATACCAGTGAATTCATGAAACTTCGATCCATAAACATCCAACAATATCATTGCAACATCAATCATGACGCGCATAAATCGATGTTCTCCAATGTGATGACATATGAATGATATGAACCGTGAGAGAAATTCATGGCTTTGTCCGGCTAATGCACGATGTAAGCCTTTGCGATGTATGAGCTCTTGCATAACACTGATTGTCACTTCAGGATTAGATTTTGCAATATGTTTATTCATTACAGTGTCCAAACATTTTACATACTCGTATTTTCGCAACAAATTATCATATATTTGTAATTTTTGAAAGTCGCCAGTACGGATTTCATGATCTACTTTAACTGAAGTTAAGGGTGGAGGTTTGTTAGTTGACCTCTTAGTTATTTCATCCTTATTACGATCTACTTCCATATTTTGGATTGAAATTAGACCATCAACCATGCCAGCAACAACCGTCTGATCACCCGGTGCTACACCAAGACTCAGTACAGCATTTGGGAAATCAAGCGTATGCACAGTCTGATAAGTGGCAACGTCATAGATCTTAACATGGCGATCCAAACTGCCTGATAACAAACGTTTGCCATTGGAACCAAGACGGAGACTTGTTATTGTTTTATGGTGCTGTGAAATTTTCGTGAGAAGTCGACATCCTGCAAAAGCATCCCAAACACAGATTTCCGTACCGCCAGCGCTGATAAAAATACCACCCGTAGGTAGAAATAGCAATGATTCAACAGGACTGCCATGATCGATACTGTATGAAATTTGTTGCGTACGAGTGTCGTACATCTTGATTTTACCATCATAACCACCTGATATTAATGTATCTGGTGACATGGGATTTATTGCTCCGGCTCTTATGTAGTCCTCATGTTCAGCAAACGTTAATGTAGCCTTCTCAGATGCAATATCCCATAACTTTACAGTACGATCATCTGAAAAGCTTGCAATATGCAGTAAATCTTGTGTAAACTGCGCGCGATGTACTGGACCTCTGTGTCCCTTAAACAGCCGCAAAACATTTTTACTAGAGGGGTCAAAAAGTTTTACCAAACCTTGCTCATCACCTGCCACAAGTAATCGACCATCTTGTCGAAAAGTTCCTCCGTAGGCAGTTTCTTGAAATCGTGATAAATTCTTTACAACCAATTTCGTAATAGGGTTGTAAATTTGTACGCGTACAGAACAAGTCACAGCAAAATAATGCGGCTCAATAGGACTGAAGTCTACATAGTCGATCGCACCAAACTCTTTCACAAGTGTAGGCACCTAAGAAAGCAATAACAATACTCTTGTTTAATATTTGACTATTTAATGTAAACTGCAATCTTACACTCAATTGTTTCCAGTATATAGTATCAGGCGTGACAATTTTACCAGTTTTGAGGTACTTTTTAGTGTTCAATCGTTTAAACTGAGACATTCTTGGACTTAATAAACCACAATTTATTCAATTTGTTAATAAATCCACTGAACAAATAAATCCATACAATGTTTTGACTTTTTGCTGCACGTGTAGTATGTTCACATTTCGCGTTTGCGTTGCCACTTAATAAAAGTGCTTTCAAAAAATTATTATTTTTATGCTCAAATTAAATATAATATAAAGTTCATTTTGTATAAATTTTTTGCACAATTGAATACCTAATGACAAAATGATTAATAATATTTAAAATAAATTTTTTTACTAACATTGTTTAGACCATGGTAGAAGGGTTTAGACATTATTGTGAATGCATTATGTCTCTCTGTTGTGTTCTAATTTGACACTTCGGTAACTAAACCAGAGAACATAACATAACATAATACACGTTCACTGACTAAACAAATGAAATTGTTGTTGATGCACGTCATCTTTGAGAGAATAATATATTGGTATTACAACGTTTATTAAGAAATAAGAAATCAAAATGGTAAGTAGAGGAAAATATTTTATTACGTTACTCCGAGTTAATTAAAACTGTTTCCATAGAGTGCGTTATTCAACTTTCAAAGTTTGCTATCAGTGATTTTACTTCTCATTTGCACTTGTGCATATTTGCGATCTCTATTTCCTAGCATTATGGACCGGAATAAGACGGGGTAAGTTAAACAAATGCAAAGTTTAAGGAGTAATAAATGTAATAAAAAATATTTTATTGCAGTTTGCTTGGTGTTTTTTGGAAGTTGGCAAGAATAGGAGAACGAAAGTCGCCTTATGTTGCGGTGGCATGCGTGGTTATGGCAATCTCCATATTGTTTTGGACGTGATACTAGCAATATAATTATTTTCGTTTAACAGTTGAGTCGAGATATGTTAGCAATAAAAATAATTTTTTGTAATTTTGTTGTGTAACATGATCTATATTAAATTTGGATTAAGTGTTTGTATGACAAGGATTAAGATATGCAAATAACTGGCTGCAATTTAGAATGGCATCCCTCGATTTCGGGGTTAAAATGGGTATATACGAATAGAGGAGGTCCTCCAGATCAAGAATATATATATATAGTTGCCGCTGACTTATGGCTTTTGAGATGTTCAAAAAATCAACTATTGAAAATGCGTGTTTCTCGGATTTATAATGAATTTTATACTTATATTTTTAACTTTTATATCCACTAACACTTCACTAATTCTTTTCTATTCATTTATTTCATATTAAAACTGCAAAAATAACTAATAATAATAATTTCATTTCAAACTTTAGTTAAAATCCATTTATTAATAAAATAAGAAAATGTGTGTAAACAAGCAAAAATAGTGTTACCATATTTTATATTGGAGTAAAAATAAGAAAAAATAAAAATTATGATGACATAACATTCATTATCGTGTGATGGGTAAAGTAAAATCTTTCAGAATTCTCATTACCTTGATAAATCCCGGTGTTGGATCGGCCAGGGTTATTTTTTTTTTTTTTGAAGCCCGGCAGAGGGCCGCCAACGCAAAAGAACTGGGCACGCCCAGGTATACGTCCGACTGAGGGTTATTTTTTTGAAGACCCAGGTTTTTGAAATATTTGAATGCAAACGCATGCATGTTTATAACTCAAGAACGGCTGTACCGATTTTTATCTCTTTATATTAAAATTTAATACAATTGTTCAAAATTCATGTTTGTAGGAATCATTTTAATATATGAGTACAATTTTAAACAGATTCTTCCTCAAAAATAATATAGTTGCTATAAGGAATAGTAGAAAATAACTGCAACCAAATACGCAGTGAAATAGATTATAACTGGCTCAGTAATCAGTCGTGGAGTATGTATTATACCACGTGCATCCAAAAATACTGATGTCATAACTTTTCCAGCCGACTTTTCGTCTTTCCTCGCCTGAGAACCGGTTCATCATGTACAGTCCACTAGAATGATTGGCGATTGGACTCCAGTGGGAAATGATGCAGCTACATATGTTTCTATTGTCACACACCGACGCATAAGTTCGGTTTTATTACGATTAAAGAAACACTTTTCGGAATCTGCACCCACTTTGAACAGAGCTTTCGCCTCTTTAGGGCATTTTCTGGTTTTAAGGTTATTAAGTTTTTAGAGCATCATTGTCCTCGGTGCTCATTCCGCCTGTTTCCGGCTTAGCAAATATCTTTTCAACGGTGGATTTCCCTGAGCCCAAATTCAACAGTAGTTAAGTTATAGATTGTACAGTTGTAGAGGTTATTGTCAGAGTAGTGCGTTGGCAGCATAGGGCCTATTCTCGCAGCAACTATCCCTGCAGTCGCCTGCTTGGTGCCGAGCCGCTTACTATAAGGTCTTTCCTTGACTACGTCGACGACATTAGACAGTACGCCGACCAGACCTCGGACACATCTCACTTCAATCACGCACCAACAACCATTCACAGCGGAGCTATTAACACATTCACTGATTACCTTTCAGTGGGTTGCATGGAGTCAAACCACCAGCCACTGCAGTCAAGGAGCTCGAGTTGGAGTGAGAATCTAGAGGGACCCAAGATGAATGACCCAAGCCAATACCAAGAGCTCCGTCAGAATCGGTAAGGACCTCTCCGAGCCGTTCGACACCAAAAGAGGTTTCAGGCAAAGCGACTACCTTTCGTGCGGCATCTTCATTCTACTCTTGGAGAAAAAAAATTGCAAAATTAAATAGAGAAAGTACTGTCTTCTATAAGAATGTACAGCGCTGGCGTACTCCAATGACATTGATATCATTTGTTTCAACAGCCGCGCGTTAGTTCTGCTCTCTCCATAATGAATGAGGAAGCGAAGCAAATTGGTCTGGTAGTGAGTGAGGTCAAGATGAAATATATTCTGTCATCAAACAATCGTCGCACTCACGGCTAGGCTCCCACGTCACTGTTAAAAGTCATAACTTAGAAGTCGTGGATAATTTCGTCAATCTTGGAACCAGTATCAATAGCAACAGCAATACCAGTGCCGAAATCCAACGTAGAATAAATATACTTCGGACTGAGTAGGCAATTGAGAAGTAAAGTCCTCTCTCGAGGAACAAACTCTATAAGTCACTCATTATTCCCGTTCAGCTATAAGGTGCAGAGGGATGGACGATGACAACATCTGCTGAGTCGATGTTATGAGTTTTCGAGAGAAAGGTTCTGCGGAAGATTTATGGTCTTTTTTGCGCATTTGCCATGGCGAATACGATAACGGTATGAGATGTACGACGACCTTGACATAGTTCAGCGAATTAAAAGACGGCAGCGGAACACCTCCACTCCGTTGGAAATACTAGGAGGAGAACGACCTGGGTTCGCTTGGAATTTCCAATTTGCGAAAAGAAGCAACGACTTTCGCGCTGTTGTAAACTAGGCTATAACCTCGTAAGCAGGGTCTTCGCCAGTAAAGAAGAAGAAGTGGTTGGCTAGATCGTTTTAAACACCGGCAAAATATCACACTTAAAAAAATGGGCTGCGAAGGTTTGTTAGTTAATGAACACGTACATATGTATGTATGTTCTGGAAAAGCTGAGAGATCTGAAAAAGGATTAAAAATCAAATAATTTATTAAATGCAGACAAAAGTGAGTTACTCTACAAGTTTTTATCCTATTATTTGCTGCGAACAGGGATGACACCAAAAACGTAAGCCTCTGCTATTCGTAAAGTCAGCAAACGGAGATGCTTAAAAGATTTGTAGCTTTCCACTGCATTGTCGACATAAGAAGAAAGCGTGGCTGACAACAACTAAATTTAACGAATGGCTGCAAATACTAAATAATGCCATGGCGGTTAATAATCGAATGATATTGTTATTCATAGACAGTTGCGTATAAAAGTTACTCGCATCACATCCAGCAGCAGCCCCTTGACATGGGTATCATAAAAGTTTTTAAATCGTTATACCGCAATGAAATGGTTATTAATTTGGTTAACAGCATCGATAAAAAAAAATTGCACAATATTAATAGCTATACAAATTGCTTTTAAAGCGTGGAAAAATATTTGCATATTGTGTATTCAAAACTGCTTTCATCCTTGTGGTTTCAGTAAAATATTAAATGATGATTTATTTGAGGATAGTCCATTGATATGACATACTATAGATTATCTTTGGACAACTATTTCTGAGAACTCTCTAAATTTCGGTATTGTTAAGAAATACGTAGATGTTTGTAATGAAGTATGATATGTTAACAGATAACGACATATTGGAGGAAACTTCATTATACGTATGTACATATGTACATATATATATAACGAAAGTGACGAGAACGATGATGATGCCGAAAAAGATGAAATTTTAATCAACTACCGCAATTAAAACTTTTTTTCAACGCATAATGTGTGTTTGACAGCGTAATCAGTTTGGAGAAAGAAAAAGAAAAACTAAGAGAAAATTCACTAAGCAATTGAAAATTACAGACTTTTTTAACGCTCGATTTATTGTTCTATAATTTTGTGTTTCTATTTAAATTTAATTTGCAAATCGTACAAATTAATGTACATACCTAAATTATTTTTAAATCAATACGTAGTATAAAATATGTAAAGTCGATTTTTCTGTCTCTTTGTATGCTTAAATCTTTAAAACTACGCAACAGATTTTGATGCGGATTTTTTTAAATAGATAAAGTGATTGAAGAGGAAGGTTTATATGTATAATAGCATCCAATGAATAGTGGAAAAATACTGGTATTTTTGAGTTTTCTTATGTGATGTCGGAAATAATTAAATTTTTTCCGCTAACATTGTAAACGCAGGCTGAATCCTAACGGGGCATCTCGGCAGGATAAAATTTATGTTATACTATTGCTATTGCCATTGCCAAATCTCTATGTGGGCATTTGTTATCATAACATAATCATTTGCGAAAAGGCGTCGGGTAGGTAGGTTCGAGCTCATGTATCTCATATTTTGAGCTATTGAACTCTTTAAATTTTTATATGGATGAAAAAGAATTTATGTGGAAAATAAAAAAAGGAGAAATATATTTCTTTCCACAATTGTATTTTTGGAAAAAATAAGAATGCATATTTTCGGACTATTAAATACATATATAATGATTGTAGCATAAACAATTTTCTCTCTTCCAATCCAAAATATAGAATGCGAAGTTTTTATTTTAAATTATAAAACTCGGGCAATTTCACGTTTTGATAAGACATACCAGTTGGTAGATTTTGGCACAGACATAGATTAATTTTACTTTAACCAAAATCTAGCAGATTCGTACGAAAATTTAATTAACACAATTATCAAAAAAATTAATTTTTCACTTTTGCGATTGGATCATTTTAATCAAGAAGAAACTTCCAAATTAAAACATTTACTTAACAAATTTAAAAATATTCAATATTTGGAAGGCAATCGTTTGTCATTTACAAATACAATTGAAAATGTAATTAATACAACACATAATTCCCCTATTTATTCGAAACAATACCCAATTGCACAAATTCATGAAATAGAAGTAGAAAATCAGGTACAGGAAATGCTTGAACAGGCACTAATTAGAGAAAGCAACTCATTCTACAATAGCCCTACCTTTTTGTATCCAAGGAAAACGTTGATTTGGGTAAAATAAAATACAGAGTAGTAATCGATTGTAGAAAACTAAATGACATAACAATTGTCGATAGATATCCCATGCCCAACATGGATGAAATACTTGGAAAACAGGGAGAAAGCCAGTACTTTACTACAATAGAGGTCTTCACCAGATAGAAATGGATCCGGTATCTATACAAAAGACTGCACTTTCGACCAAACTCGGTCACTACGAATACGTCCGTATGCCATTCGGTTTACAGCACCCGCTACATTCTAAAGGTGTATGAACATTATACTTCGACCATTGATTTGTTTATTTGGATGAAATAATTTACTACCATAAATTTATTCC